ATTTATATAAAAAAAGTTAAAAATTTAAATTAAAACTATTAAAATTGAGTAAAGATAGTAGTTAATTAAGAATAACAAAGTAAAGAAAAGAGGAAATTTATCTATTTTACAAAATAAAAAAAATTTGTCTTTTAAAAAATTTTAAAAAAAATAGTTTGAAAATTTTCTGATAATTAGGTAGATAATTAAAGTTAGGACATAAATAAAAATAAAATAATTAAAGTAGAAAAAAAAATACTCTTATATTTTTTTGTTTTAAAAGATGAAAAAATAGTAATAATTAATTTAAGACAAATTTTGTGTAAAAAATGACACTCATTTTAAAATGGAGGAGTATCTAAATATTTTTATTTGTTTCATTAATCTACATTGGTTACCTCAAACTTTTATACCCAATAACTCTTCAATGTGATAATTGATAATACTATATCTGGTCCATATTAATTATTCTAATTTGATTTTTTTGCATATAATTCAAATTAACGCTTTTATATATATCAAATGTATGAAATTTTGCACTTGACCGTTCGAGCCAACTGACAGTCTGTCAGCTTGAGGTGCATTCTCCCTTCCTTATGGACAGGTTTCGAACCCGTCCCTTGACAACTTGATAAAAAAAAAAAAGTATGAAATTTCTTTTCACCTCAACTTAAATTGCTCAACAAAAAATAAGTATATAAGGAAAAGTTCATTCAAAATTTCAATTAATTACTATATAAAGTTATCAAATTAAACTATACATAAAAAGTTAACATATTAGAACTAAATTAGATCAAAGAGAGAATATAGTTTATGATTATTAAAAACCAGAAGTTCAAACATATGCATGCAAGAAAATATAAATAAATTGATTTTTCTATTATGTACACTAAGATGAGGAATAATTGGCTTCTTTTTTTTTTAATAAATAAAGACAATTGCATTAAGCTAGTGAAATAACATCAACGCAGCCCACCACCCCACCCCACCCCCCCGCCGGGAGGTACAATTTAGCAGAAGGCAGGACACAAATGTACAATCAAAGATAACAAATTCAGGATCAGTACTACTGGGTAGCAGCTTGGCCATTTGATCTGCAGTCATATTAGATTCCTTGAAGTTGAAATTTTGGTTAATAGTTTATCTTTTTTTAATTGAAAATGTGAAAATTAATTTATTTTTTGCATTGATTTAACAAAATTTAACTATAATTTATATAAAAATTTCATACATAATTGATTTACTTTTATATAAATTTCATAATTTATATAAAAATTTAACTATAATTCAATTTTAGTTCCTTCTACTATAATTGATTTTTTAAATATTAATTTTATATAAAAATTTAATAAAACATATAAATAACATTTAAAAATATTTTTTTGTATATAATTATTGTTGAGTAGTTTTTTTTTTTTTTTGAATAATGGGAATTTTTCTTCGGGGATGAAGAAAGGAAGACTTGGAATTGAACCCAAATTCAACTAGTTCTAAGTACGTCCTGCCTTTCTGGGAGACCAGTTGGCTCCAAGTGCTGGACAATTATTGTTGAGTAGTTACATCTAATCAATACAAATTTTTTAATAACATTTATATTATATCTTAAATTTTCATGGGAAACTAATATTTAAAAAAAATTAGAAAGTCGATACAACACAATTAAAATAAAACCAAAGTAGTAATATTTTTTATTAATTTAATTACATCTACAATAGAAACAAGGACAAAAAAATGTCGAATTTAAAGAAAAATACTAACGCAAAATGAGTATGAACATCAGGATCATAATCAAAACCAGACAACCTCCAAAATCCTCAAAAAAAAAAGAAAAAATATATATATATATAATTTACATGCGGGAAACAGTCATATTCATATACATCCATAAAACTCTCTAAATTTCTTAACCTCCAGCCTAGAGGCATTGTTTTTTTTTCCAATTTTTATCTGTAAATGATAGTACTAATAAACATTAAACAGAAAACGAGAATAAGGAGAAATTTACGGGAGGAAAATACTTGGGTGCTCTTGATCGGTAAAATGATTCTGACTCCAGTATGTCTGATCAACGGCAGTAGGAAGATCAGTTAGTTCTTGATATCCATCCCCCTGCCAATCCAACGGTCCAAAGATTCCAAACCCTCCACCGTTGGATCTGCTCTGCAACGCCGATAGCTCAACCTGCACCGTCGGATCACACAACCTCCCCGCCGTGATCTCCTCCCCTCCCATACTCATCTTCTGCTGGTGGTGGTAGTGGTGGTTCGGAATCTGATTCTGCAACTGATTTTCCTGATCAAGTCCGAATCCAAACGACAGCGCTTCATTACTGATCGGCGACGTAATCAAGCTCGTCAAAGTCCCAATCTCGGAAAATATCCCGCAATCCGATCCTTGTTCCAGCATCCTCGGCTCGAAGCCGGAATCTGAGTTTAACAAATTTGAGTGGGAAGATGGCGCCGACACCGCCTCAGCAGCGCCGGGGGCAGAACTACTACTAATAGCATTATTCGCTACTGCAACACTGGAATTGGCGGCAGTGATACTAGAGCTTTCGCTGCTAGAATTAGAATTCGATTTCCGCTTATCATCACGCTGCTCTTGCGGCGGCGGCGTCGTCGTTTCCGGTGCAGGCTTCGTTTTGGCGCGCTTGGCCTTGCGACATCCGCCGCCAACAGGGACGTTTCGGAGCACGCCACCTTTGGTCCAGTAGCGGCGGCAGTTCTTGCAGAAGTGGCGCGGCTGGGAGAGGTTGTAGTTGTTGTAGTAACAGAATTTGGTGTTGAGCGAGTCACAGCGGGGGCACTTGAGTTCCTGATGGTGGTGGTGCGGCCGTAACCGCCTGTCCCCTCCCCCGCCACCTATTATCTGGCCGGCGGCGCCAATTGAGTAGATGTCTTGCATTATTTATTGCCAGATGCCAATTTCACTCAGAATCAGGATACGAAATTGTTGAAATCGATCTGACAGCGAACTTCTCGGTGAAGTTTGCAATAAATTGGTTCTGTCCCGATAAATAAGAGAGAGAAAGGGAAAGTGAGAAGAAGAGCACAGGAAGGATAGAATCATAGGAGCGTCTCTAACGTATGACAAATATCCTAGCAAATCTATGGAGCATGACAAAATTCTCCAAATTACCAAGATACCCCTCCCAAAACACACGAATTTACAACCACCCTTTATCTTGTTACCCTGTACCCGGTTGTAATTTCCTAATGGCTGCTAAGTCCTAACTAGAGTTATAACTTAGATTTTATTGAATACATAA